TTACTATTTCACCTTGTTAATAATGCACAAGTTCTTGCTCTTTTTAAACGTGGTATGAAAGAAATATATAACTCTCGAAAAGTCGAAACGAGTCTCAATTGCAGACATGGTAACAAACGTGGCATCAGAGAGCATTAGCAGCATCAGAAAACATGTGATACTAATTTTTTCAGGCCCAAAGTCATGTGTGCTACCAAGTCCGCAAATGCGGCGTGTCTCGCCGCGGGAAACAGAGTGTACGTACTTTATGAATATTGAATGCATGACTGCAACTCTCCTAAATAGCAGTGGAACACTGGAAATAATAACAACTACATTTGTGATTACTGTTATCTGTAAACTATCAGTGTTTTAGGATGAACACCAAAAACTTCATATTTTACGGATTGTATTTTATTATATTTTTGTTGAATAATCAACTGCTTAGTTCTGCAAGTTCGCCCGACTCAACAGTCTCAACAAAGTCGACTCTCGGTCCAGCGTGATAAAGAAGATCCGCCACCAATAATGCAATGTCTTTCGGCACTTAGCACTACTGAAAACAGTTTACTCGAGAGTAAACTCAAGAGGAGGCAAGTTAACGCTTAGTGTATTTTCTATGCAAATATTGTAGTTAAACTGAGTGGATGACGGGCTGGCCGTAGGCTGCTGATGGTAAAGGCAGATACCGTTAACTGCTGAAGCCTACCTGAATCTACTACCTACTGCTGTCTCCACAATTCCACCGTTCCATAGTGTGATGTGGTCGATCTATTTCCTTGTGATGACCTAACCTAACGGCACGTGTTGTCGCCAAAATTGCGGTTAGCACGATGTGATTTCCGAAGGTCTTATAGTTGGGTGGTATTTTGTTAGATAAGGCACTCGACTGGTGGTAATAGTGTAATCGTTAGGGGCGCTATACCCCGCGCACGCGGCTTGGACTCAAGTCGCGGAGAAAAACTCACCATGTGGACGTTGACCGTTGTTCTTCGCCTCACTTCTCAATGCGAAAGTTATCACACGAATGCTGAGTTACACAAGTCCGGTAGGCCCGAGGTCCGAGCTGAGGTTTACGCTGAGGTAAATTGTCTTCCCAGTGACTCACCATCCTGTCGGTGATTGTCGGGTATTTCTTCACAAATTGCTCTCATATTGAACAATCAGTTTTTTACTGACGAACGCTAGCGTGTGGTTACGGAATACGCGCACAAACGGTGGAGCCCTGGGCCTCTGAGGACGACGATTTTGTCGAAACTTTAGGCCGATCTAATAAACGTTCCACCTATCAACTCGTGTGGTACAAAAAATACACAAACATAAACAATCAGCGTTGTACTGCTAGGCAATCAAGCTTGAAATTCGGGTCACCAGAGTGTCTAGTGATCATGCTGCCATAAGGAAGGCTTGGAAATGAGAACGCGTTTTTGCTTTGCCGCTTAGACCTTTGCACGTGCGCAAATCCGACCACCTTTCGTTTACTGTAAAATCACGGGTCTCGATTGAATCGATGCGTAGTTTTTCCAAAAATTTGGCAAGAAGTAAGAACGTTAGTGAGGGAAAAAGCAAAAAGCGCCATAGAAAACACTGAAATTTCCCTTATAAGGCCGGCCGTGGTATGACGGAGAGACACAGCGCTGCGAGGAGAGGGAAAACGCGAGAGAGTACGTCGTACGCGAGAGGGCGCAGACGCCACGTATGCTGCGATTGATGATCGCAGCGATCGCAGCATACGTGGCGTTCGCGCCCTCTCGCGGCGGGGGGCAAGCATCAGTTCCCTTATCGCGTACGTTTAAGTCCCCACTACTGCCACTATTGTTATTAGGAATCCTACCTTCACAAGAGGAAAGAATTTCTCCAAGGAGCTATTCGCTACCTGTAGTGTAGTGTGGTGTTGTGGAGTGCTCAGCTTCATGTGAGGGTCATGACAGAATGCTAATGATTCAGGTACGCACTGGAGTGGGAGTACCTGGCCACGGTGTTGGACAGACTACTGCTGATCGTCTTCTCCATAGTGGTCTTCCTGGTCACATTTTTTGATGATACTCGTTGGCGAAGCAATGCATCTCTCATATCAACTAACATCAGAAGGAGCTCATCCTTTAACGCCTTAGTCGTTCTCATCGATCTCGCCTTTACTGAACCTCATTTTGCATGATCTTTTGATTGTTGCGATTTACTCCGCTAGATATGTCTATTTAACAAATACATAGTGCTTTTTGCAATACACATTAATCCATATTATGTCTTGTGTTCATCAGACCAACTGAAAGCAATTCCTTGAAAATAATGTATTTCAACAAAGTTGAGCAACCGCTGCACTTATAAGGCTCCTCTTTTGCGGTGATTTCATAAAATATGGCATCAAAGTTTTTGTCATAGAATTTGCATATTGTGCTAGAACATGACAAATTCCTGCAGTTATGATATTTACACTGCATCGTAACAATGAAAGCTCTGCACGATCATTAGATATGGATGCTGTTAGCACCATCTGCGGCTGGTGAAATCTCAG